AGTGCTACGAATGGCGAGACTCATTGACGATGCCGACTACGATGCCGGCGAAACGTCTGAGAATGTACCACGTCCACAGTCCTACTCTGGAAATAATGATGCATACAATGGACTCCGGACAAGGCGTATTCCTCTAAGTCTTCCTACCAATGTGACCGAGTTGGGAAAACAAGGTCAAACAACTTCAATATAGTCGATTATTATCGACAATCCCAACCCAGAATTGGATATGGAAAATAACTGATCTTCCTTGAAATTCATATCTGCCCTATGACCCAAGGGCACTCGTGGCAATGTGGCTTAGTGGATAATGTGTTGAGAGTACACGATGCGCTGTCATGGTTCGACTTCCGCTTGGGGTGTTGATAAGATCTATTCGAGGTCGAGACTACAGTCCACTCTGGATGAGAACACCTTTTGGGAAATCAGGGCTATGTGAAATTCAGTGGAAAGGTCAGCCCTACTCATATAATTGTGGGGAAATTCCACAACTAGTCCTTCATCACCTTAAACAAAATAGGATGAACACAACTCATTATCAGTCCATAAGTCATCTGGGATGAACTGTGAGAAATGCATTCTAATTGAAGCTCATTCATCCAATCTTGCATCCTTTAAAATAAACTCGGGTGACGCATAAAAAAGAGATAATCTACAAAAATGCACTTTTATAATAATATATTTAATTTACCTGATAAAGTTTGGCTTAATATCCTCCTGGTAGCCTTCGATCTGTTTGGCAGTTAAAGGACGAGAGTTGGATGCTTGGAGGGCCAGTTCATCCATCAAACCGTTATGTGATGTCGGCAGTCCGGTCGGTGTTCTCTTCTCCTCCGGCAGCCGCAGCATGTGCATCTCTTCCAGCATAGTCTCGCCGCTCGAATTGGACGGTCCTGTCGTCTGGTTGGTGATGAGGCGGTCGAGGAGGAGACACGGTCCCGGTGATAGGGCACTGGTCGAAAGGAAGGGTTCTGGGGAAAGTGCCGAGGTACTGGGTAGCCCGTTCATCCAGGCCGCTGAAGGCCGATGGATGGGAGAATGAATGCTGGAATCGGCAGCGTCCGGCAGAAGCGCAATCGGTCTCTGCGGCATAAAGCAAGCGTCGGCTTCGTCTTTCTGGGTTGTTTGGCAACGCCGACGAAACGCTTTCGGCTTGAAGACAGGCTCGCCAGCTCGAAGTATTGTGTAGGTAGGCATACCGGCCGGCCGGCGAGCCAAGTCGAGGTCTGTGTGGATGAGAGTTGGCCTTTGGTAGGACTGGCATATGCTGGAGGAGGTGGTGGGCACTATGGCATCACTCATGACTGAGTCCTCTTTTGTTGGCTTGTTCCTATCTTCGTCCTCTTTACCAGCATGAATGGGCTGGCAAAATGTTGTCTGAGAACTGTTTGTGTATGTCAGGCTTAAAAGGTTGTTTGAAGGAAGCGAGTGACTGGCCGGACAAGTCAGCAGTGGAGTCTGAGCAGAGTGGCCTGCAAAGGAGATTGATTGGGGTCCTGAAGAGGAGGAGGAGGACAACGACGATGACGACGACGAAGAAGAAGAAGAAGATGATGAAGAGGAGGAGGCAGCGGCGGAAGAAGAGGATGTTGGCGACAAGAAGTTGACAGCCTGAAACCCAGGGACCTCGTCTACAGACGAACTCGTGCACTGCGAGAAGACGTAGCTGGCGACTCCGTACGTCGAAGGACTGCCAGGTTTCGAGACGAGTTTTGGCCTCACCTCTGCTGCGGTATCCTCGGCGGTAGTGAGGGCTTGAAAAGAGTAGGTATCCGATGCACGAACATCAACTTCTTCACGCAACGAATTCAAACCAGGCGCGTAGGTGAACAGGCCGACGGACTGAGGACATTGCGGCGAACAGAAAGTCTGATGGAGGTGAAGATGGGACAGGTAACCGTGACGATAAGGCCCTGTAGAAGCCGGTCCTACAGAATATTCTGTGCCCTCGTCCTCGGCTTCCTCTTCTTCCCCCTTTTTCTCCTCATCCTCTTCCAATTCCTCGCCATCCTCGTCATCTTCTTCCCCATCGTCCTCATCATCCTCGTCATAGTCACCACCATCTTCGTCTTCGCCGTACCTGTTTGTGTGTTCATGCTCGGCGACGATTTGTTCGGCGTGCTCGGCTCCTTCGACTGCATTCCCTTGTCCCAGGGTCACAGCACCATCTTCATCCTTTTCTTCTGCACCTGCTGCTGCCTTGCCTTCCAGTATGCCCGATGCAGCAACATGTTTGTAGGTCGAATCCATTTGCACGGAGTGGCACGACGGCAAATTTTGCAACAATATTCCCTCGTTATGTTACTAACGCCTAGAGTAGTTCGGCCCGCTGTCCAAGTACAGGTTCAGAGGTGACTATGTGCGCATAATCGTGTACTTTTGTGCATGTGCGGCTGTCCATGTCAGTGTGTCTAGTGCGGCAGAGCCGCACACTCATGTGCCCTTGGAGCAGGACTACCAGAGCATACAGAGTCGTCTTACAACAGACGGACACATGCAGAAAATGGACATGGCTGGAGCAGTGGTTGTGTGAAAATCAGAGAAAAAAAGGCTAATTAAGTCCTCCTGAGGGGCGGATCGAGTACGGAGAGTTTGGGTCGCCGGCTTATTTGGGTTGGGGATGGTTTTGCGGTAGAGCGGCAATTGAGACAGTCGCGCCAGGTTGCGGCTACACTCGCCCGGCTAGTTGGATGCTCGAAGAACGTACTGGACACGTGTAAAATGTAGCATTCGGTCGAAGCTTGGTCTAGGTAGCGCTGTCCAGCGGAATAATGATAAGAAAACGATAATTAGCGAATGATCCAAATCAGTCAGTTTGCCAAGTCAGTCGAGGTGTGCTGTGCTAACCGAGTTTCGTCTCGCATCCTTGTCCCCCGTATGTGAGTCTCTATTCGGTCTATGTTTGTGTGCACATATGCATGTCCAACACTAACGCGAGCAGTGCTTAAGCGACAAGTTTGTGTCTCTACGCCTGCATATAGGACCCTCTCCTCTGTATGTCTCCCTTCGTTAAGCGTGCATTCTAGTGCATCTGTAGACAGTCAGTCAGTAGTTAAATTAATCATTCATTCAATCGCTATCCTTCACTCTGTATGTATGTCTGTATGTCTGTCTGTGTGTGTGTGTGTGTATTGCATGCGTTATTTCTGTCTATCTGGTTTGTTGAGATGGCCGAGAGTGTAT